CACAGCCCATGGGGTTTGCTCTGTGGGGAGCAGACCCTACCGCATATGTGGTACTCAGTCTAGAATGCTGACAGAAAGGACGTCAGGGTAAGAATGAAGCCCACCTCCTGAGAGAAGCCGGCAGTGCCTCTGTGCTCAGGGGTGCGGTTCCGCTTTCCTGGAACGGACAGAGTTTCCATGCACAGTTTTGAGATGCTGCTCCCATACCCCACCTTGACTGGGATATGATTGCCTCATTCCTACGAAGGTCAGATGGCGTGGGCAGTGGGGCAGTGCTCAGGAGTTAAGTCCCCAGAGGGGCACTGAGGAATGACAAAGGAAAGAACGGCGACTTGAGGTCTGCGACCAGCCTCCGCTTCTCCACTCGCTAACTCTGTGGTCTTAGATGACCTGACTTTGTGGCGACTTCGTTCTATCAACTGCAAGCTGAGGCCTGGTGGCAAAGACAGCACTCACCAAATGTCCCTAGGCTCCCCTGGATGTCACAGCCAGTGGCTGGCCAGTGGACCAGGAACAGAGCTGACGTGTCCACTTGACAGGGAAGCAGTTAAAAGCCACTGTATTTCCATATCTCTTCCCCTTGCACAGCAACTTCAGAAGGCGGGTGTTAAGACCACATGGCTAGAAGATGGGAAGTGGTCCAGATCCAGGAGCTGCTGCTTGGAGGAGAGCTCTGCAGGAAGACTGCCCAATCCAGATCCAGGAGGATTCTGTGGGAGCACTCCCTGATCTAGGAGAGCTCTGTGGGAGGACTGCCCAATTCAGGGGAGCTCTGCGGGAGGACTGCCCGATCCAGGAGAGCTCCGCAGGAGCACTGCTGGACCCACACTGAACCCTGAGAATGAGATGAGCTGTCCATCTGGGGTGCATACGTGATTGATAGAGACTATAGCGCCAACCTGGCTGGGCCATGAAGCTTAAATAAGAAGACGACTATGAAGCATCAAACCAGTGTCCGGAAAAGGGGACCCCCTCAATAAGCATTTGTTTCTATCTCTACTTTCAAAAACTGCATTTTTGCACACACACACACACACACACACACACACACACACACCCGCCAAAGAACACTGCCCAGGAACACTGCCCAGGAACTGTTGCTGGTCCCTTTCTCATAATATTTCAGTGTTGGGACCAGGCCACAGAATTCAAAAGAAGATGAAGGATGTACACAGCCCTGTTACCAGAGGCCTGAAGGCTTCATATGTGCCTCATCACCCACAGAAAGCAGTACCGACATGTAGCAGGACCTGAATTCAACTAATCTTCCTTAGAGTGCCCGAAATGGCAGGTGATGGGGGGGAGGGGGGAAGGGAGAGAGAGTGAGAGAGAGAGAGTATTCCTGGCATGTTATTTTAAATTTCTGTTTTGGGGTCTCAGTAAGACTCGAGACTCCCAGGCCTGGCCTAGACTGATACTATATATCAGTATCTGCAAGAGAATTTGCAGGGTGCAAAGCAGGGAATGGCGGGTGGGGGAGAGGGGGGGAGGGACTGCTAGTGGAAAGTCACAATACTGGCCTTGCCCCTCCCCCCGAGCTCCTCCTCCCCACCCACAGGCCACCCCGGATTGGCCAGGCTCCTGTTCACCTGCAGGAAGGGGTCTGTCAAAAATAAACACCTAACTCAGGCTTGGCAAGCCTTTCTGGCCTCCATTTCACCATGATTTCTCTAGGCGCTCGCCAGAGTAATGTAGCTATTAAAAGTCAGCCCTACCTCGCAATCAGACAGAAAAGCTATAATCACCCCAGGCATTTCCAAGGGACCTTTCAAAGAACATCATTAATTCTGAATAAAGCTCTCCCTTACCAACACTTTCCAATTATAGTCTTGACATTCCTATTTTATGCTACAAAATCCCTCTGCCATTTAATGAAGAGGGAAAAAAAGCCTGCTTTTAAAAAACACATATGTTTGAGTAGCCTACATATCTGAGTTAACTTTCCAAAATTAAAACAAATGTAACAATAGAAAAATTTACCGTCTCTTTCTCTCCATCCCACCCCCATCGGCAGTCCCCCATAGGCACCCCCACACGCAGTAGCTCCCACCTCCACCGCCATTCATGGTTTCCACTTTCCAAAGTTTCATTTATCCGAGATCAACCGCGGCCCAGAAGCAGACAACCCTCTTGATTTATCCAGGTCAGCAGTAGCCTAATACTATGTCACAGTGCCTACGTCATCATCTCACTTCACCACATCAGGGAGGCATTTTACCATCTCACATCATCACAAGAGGAAAGGTGAGCACAGTAAAATATTTTGAGAGAGAGGCCACATTCACACAATTCTTATTCCCTCATATAATGTTATAATTGTTCTATTTTATTATTAGATATATTGTGGGGCACCTGGGGGGCTCAGTTGGTTAAGCGTCAGACTTCTGCTCTGGTCATGATCTCAAGGTTCCTGAGTTCGAGCCCCGCATTGGGTTCTGTGCTGACAGCTCAGAGCTGGGAGCCTGCTTTGGATTCTGTGTATGTGTCTCTCTCTCTGCCCCTCACCTCCTCACATGCACCCACACTCCCTCCCCCGCCTTGAGAAACGTTAAAAAATGTAGGTATGTTGCCCTTTGACCCCAGCCACAGAAATTTCTTACTTGACACATCTCCAAAGGCAAGGGAATTAAAAGCAAAAATGAACTATTGGGACCTCATCAAGATAAAAACATCTGAACTGCAAAGGAAAAAATCAACAAAACCCAAAGGCAACTGATGGAATGGGAAAAGATATTTGCAAATGACATATTGGATAAAGGGCTAGTATCCAAAAATCCATAAAGAACTCACCAAACTCCACACCCAAAAAACAAATAATCCAGTGAAAAAAATGGGCAGAAGACATGAACAGACACTTCTCCAAAGAGGACATCCAGATGGCTAACGGATACATGAAATGTTGCTCAGCATCCCTCCTCATCAGGGAAATGCAGATCAAAACCACACTGAGATACCACCTCCTGCCGGTCAGAGTGGCTAAAATGAACAAGTCAGGACACTATAAACGCTGGCAAGGATGTGGAGAAACGGGCACCCTCCTACATTGTTGGTGGGAATTAAACTGGTGCAGCCCCTCTGGAAAACAGTGTGGAGGGTCCTCAGGAAATTAACAATAGAACTCCCTTATGACCCAGCAATAGCACTGCTAGGAATTTACCCAAGGGATAGAGGAGTGCTGATGCATAGGAGCACATGTACCCCAATGTTCATAGCAGCGCTCTCCACAATACCCAAAACATGGAAAGAGCCTAAGTGTCCATCAGCTGACGAATGGATCAAGAAGATGTGGTTTATATATACGATGGAATACTTCATGAGAAATACTACATGGCAATGAGAAAGAATGAAATCCTGCCATTTGCAGCAACGTGGATGGAACTGGAGGGTATTATGCTGAGTGAAATAAGTCAGGCAGAGAAGGACAGATATCATATGCGTTCACTCATATGTGGATCTTGAGAAACTTAACAGAGGACCATGGGGGAGAGAAAGGGGAAAAAAGTTACTCACAGAGAGGGAGGGAGGCAAACGATAAGAGACTCTTAAATACAGAGAACAAACTGAGGACTGATGGGGTGGGGGAGAGGGGAAGGGGGGTGATGGGCATTGAGGAGGGCAATTGTTGGAACGAGCATTGTATGGAAGCCAATCTGACAATGAATTATATTTTTAAAAAATTAAAAATAAACCTAAAAAATGTAGGTATGTTGCTAATCCCTGTGCCTAATTTATAAATTAAAATCTATCAGGATTTCCTATGTATGGGGAAAAAACAGGATATACAGTTCAGGGCTAAGTTTTCAGGAATCCACAGGTAGGTGGGGGAGGGGTGCTCAGAAGGGATCCCTGTTGGCAAAGGGCAACCACTCTATTGTATTTGGTAAGAGGCAATAAGTCTTGTTTTTATTCTGAGCCTGACCACCCCCATTAACAGGGAAAGCCGGGGGCTTGGGCGGTGAGGAGGGGGCTGGCATCTATCAGGCCCTGGCCAAAGGCAGAAAACTCCAACTCTAAATATAATCAGAGACGGTTCTACCAAATGCGGGTCCTCCATCTCATTCATGTCCAGGGTTGTTCCCGCCCAGTGCAGAGGACTAGGCAAAGCCTCAAGGATCTTTATTCCAACCAGCTCTGCCAGCTCCCCCTCCCCCCCCCCCCCCGGCCATGCTCTGTGCCAGGTGCCTCACAGTCTTCATCTCCTGTGTTCCTTTCTCACCAAGAGCCCCGTGAAGCACGAATGAACGTGTTTAAAGATGTGGAAAAGAGGCCCACAGACATGAAGGAACTGCCCCAGTGTCCCAAGCTGGGATTTGAACTCACGTTCTTATCTTGCTCCATAGTCACTAGAGGAAAGCACTGAGGTTGGGGTAGGGAAAGCAAAGTGATGCCTGCGTTCTGTTTTACGCTCACTTCCCTCTTTGGCGGGGAGCTGGCTGACGGAGAGTCGGGGTCTGGACCGCAGAGCACGGACCAGGGCGTGGTGGGGACGAAAAGTACAGGAATGTGCTCATCTGCGGGACGCAAATATCCAGCCCGCTGCCGACCCGCTCTGTTTTGTCCGGGACCGGGAAGTTGGCGGCTGTACGATTCACATGGACACAGTCACTCCGGGGGAACGTAACGGAGGGCGCGGCCCATCGGCTGTGCCCTCACTGCTATCCGGAGACGCTGCCCCTCCGAGCCCCCCTGAGCTTCGTCCTTTGGCGATGGGAGCGCCCCCGCCGGCCCTAGTGCGCGGGTGGTGAAACCCCTTCCCCCCGCGCCGGGTCCGCAGGGCCAACCCGTGAGCGTCAGGGGCCTGTGATGGAGGAGCCCCTCGGTGCGCGCTTCCGGAGAGCGGACGGCAACTCCCGGTGCGCTCCAGGTGCGCTGGCGGTCAGCCTTTCGGCGCGCGCCCCAGGTGTGCGAGCTGCAGCCGCCAAGTCTCCCAGCGGCCAAGCTGCCCTCCCCACACAGCGCCCCCTCCTCCGGCGCCCCCTGTGCCCCCGCACGCTCCTCACCTGCACGGTGGCGGGCAGAGGCAGCACAGCCCCGCGGCGGCGGCCGAAACGCAACTTGGCCGCCTTGTAGATCTTCCAGTAGACGAAGAGCACCACGCCAAGAGGCAGGTAGAAGGCACCGCAGGTGGAGAAGATGGCGTAGGAGGGCTCTTGGCTCACCTGGCAGCGCTGGCGCCGTGCGTCGTACGCCTCGCCCCAGCCGAAGAGGAGCGGCGCCAGGGCGATGAGCGCCGACAGCGCCCAGGTGAGCGCGATCATGAGCGCGGAGGCGCGGCGGCGGGTGCGCAGCGTGTACTGCAGGTGGCGCGTGATGGTCCAGTAGCGGTCGAGGGCGATGGCTGCCACGTTCCAGATGCTGGCGGTGCAGCACAGCACGTCAAAGGAGATCCACACGTGGCACAGGCTCCGACCCAGCAGCCAGCGTCGCCCGGCCGACAGCTCGCTCACCAGGCTCAGGGGCATCACCAGCGCTGCCACGAGTACGTCCGACACGGCCGTCGAGGCCACCAAGTTATGAGGCACGCGATGGAAGGCGCGGACGCGCAGGATGGTGACCAGAACCAGCAGGTTCCACAGGAACGTGGCCGCGATCAGCAGCACCAGCAGCGTCACCACCAGCACCGTGAAGACCGAGAAAGGTGGCTCGCGGCCGGGCAGAGCGGCCCCGCCTGGGGTCGACCCGCTGACCCCGCCGGGGCTTGGGCTGATGCTGCAGGCCTCGGATCCCAGGGGCAGGGCGACGCCGGTGGCGGCCACCGTGAGGTTAGCTGTTTCCATGGCGCGCGGCGTGCGGGATCCTGGCTTCCCCGCAGGGGACACGCGCGCGCCGCCCCGGGGTCCGTGGGCACCGGGTGGGAAGGGGTCGCTGCGTGCCCTGGGAGGACAGAGAGGGATCCAGGTCGCCCCACCCTGTCCCTCTTTGGACCGCAGCACCCCCCCCCCCTTTGGGTGCTCTGCCTGGAACCCTCGTGGGACCTCTTTTCCGGTGGAGGAGAAAAGAGAGTGGGACCCCTCTGGAGTCCAGCTCAGCTCGGCGCGCAAGTCCCTCCCACCTCTCTGCGCCGTCCCCGGGGCAACGGGCTGTCACAGGGCTGAGAATCCGGGAGCGCCGCGGAGTGTCCGCGCGCAGGGGCGGGTTTGGAGAGTTGCCCCAGGAGCCGGGCTGCACCCGGGTGGGCGGCTGGGGGTGGCCCGGGGACCTGCCGGCACCAGCCAGGCCTTCGCGCAGCCCCGCCGGTCCCCCTCCCCCACCGCCCTCCCGCCTCCGCGGGGCGGAGAGAACCCCTAACTGCGGTTATCTCCGGGGAAGGTTCATGATCGCACTGAAATTCCGTAGCCGCCGCCTTCTCGGATCCCTCGGACCGGCCTGGTGGCACGGCTGGACGTCGAGAGACAGAGGCGCCCGGCCTCTCCTGGCCAGAGGAGTTGTTTCCTCCAATCACGCAGGATCCTACGTATACCTGAACTAGGTGCCGAGGTACCTACAACAGCAAGCCCCTAAAGCCGGCCGCGTGGTGTGGCTCCACTCGGAGCACTTGTGACTGGCAGGGGCTTCAAGGTGCCTCGGGAAGTTCACGCCGGGAAGAAAGAACGAGGCTTCTAAGCAGTTTGGCAGAGACCCCCAACGGGAGCGCTTACAACCTGTCCGCTGACCCCAATCCTGCCCGCGTTAATAGCAGAAGCCTTTTTTTTTTTGGTAGTGAATAAATCTAATTTACGGAGAGCCAAATAAATAAAGCGTTCTCTAGCTCCCTATTCTGCTTTGTCTCCACAACACTTCATGAATTGACATCATGTTGTGTATTTCGTCTGTTTGTTACCTGCCTTCCCCACTAAAATGTAAGTTCCTCCTAGGCAGGGAACCTTCTCCCTGCTGTATCTTAGCATCCAGTTCTGCGCATGTAGAAGGTGATTGGATACATCTGAAAGGATACTTGAAAAATGAATGAGGCAAGGTTGGGAGAGGGGATCCATAGGCCCTGAGTGCCCCTCCCTGTTCCCCTCGGGCGCTGACTGCTCACTGACCAGGCCACTTCAGAGAGTTGTGTTTGCAGCAAGCAACTATAACAGATGAGGTGACTTCTCCCTCTGGGCAAAGGGGATCCCCCAAGTCCAGTGTTCTTCTCCTGTAACACAGTCCCCTGCCTGTCCAGGCGTCATCACAGGCTCTTTCTATATCCCCCGTGGGATTCGGGGAATGTGGGGGGCCAGCACAAACGAACTCGGAGCTCAGGCTTACAGCTCTTGCCCAGAGGAATCAAGTCCTTTGTCTCTGACCCACTGCAGTCACGTCTTCTGACAGCATCTGTGAACCGTTACCCAGTAGTTTGTTGCTTGCACGTAAGGTCAAATCTGCCACCCCACACCGTACCCCACAGGCATTCTGCTTGCTGATTTTTAAATTACAATAAGCAAAATTATTTTGCCCCTCTGGGATTTTTCTTGATACATTTCCTTCCAAATTTAATAACTGAGTTAAAACGTAGTTAGAGTATGATTGTTCTTTTTACATATTTCCAAATCGTACCTCAGAGAGGTTGAACGGATTTATTGTTTTCGTGGCCCCAGCTCTGGAGAAGCAAGAGAGAGAAATTGACAACCTCGCCACAACCAATTTTTCTATCACTAGAAGGAAAATATTTAATTGGTGTATGATAATGTATTTTGTTTTCATTTGTGTTTCTTCAATGGCTAAACATCCTGTGTTTTCCCACGTGGCGATTCAGTTTCTATATAGTCTTGTGTGGATCTGCTCATCCCATTTTAACTACTTTATACTGGAATCCAGGTATTGACCTTATGAATATTGATCTATTGCAATGTAATTGGGGAGCAGATTTTCATTAGTGCTGTTGTCACATACCTTTTTCTTTGCATTTATTCCATTACATTTTGTTGAATAAAGTTTTCTCTTTTTTTATTTTTTAATGTTTATTTTTGAGAATGTGAGAGAGAGAGAGAGCACGAATGGGAGAGGGACAGAGACAGAGGGAGACACAGAATCCAAAGCAAGCTCCAGGCTCTGAGGTGTCAGCACAGAGCCTGATGCAGGGCTTGAACCCGTGAACCGTGAGCTCATGACCTGAGCTGGAGTCCTCCGCTCAACCGACTGAGCCACCCAGGCGCCCCAAATAAAGTTTTCTTTTATAGAGTAGGACACATCGATCCTGTCTCCATCAATGTCCTTAATTTACTCTGTCATCGTAAGTTGCTTTCCTGCCCTCTATTGCTACTATTAAAGTTTATGAATAGATTTAGAAATTTCACTCTGATTCCTCTGGAGTCATGTGTGACACAGAAAACGATGGTGTTTGGGCCTTCCCATCCCCACACTGGGTGTAATCCCATCCAGGGAAGCTCAGTCCTGATTATTGAGAGGAAGACCTGATCCTGGACCCCTGTCATCTCCCAGACAACAAAATCTATCTGATACCAGAATACAGCAACATGTGCCAACAGCTGATTACAAGTATAAACAAACTTTTCTGGTCTTACTGGGGGAGAGATCTTCCCTCCAGTGAGGAGGAGCAGAGAAGGCCTCCTGAGGGAGGCAGATTTTGACCTGGACATTAAGAGGCAGGAGCGTTTTTACTGACATAGGTAGGGGGGAGGGGGGCGGAGGAGGAGGGACTACCCATTAGGAAGAGGGTGAGCAAAGGCTTGGAGGCTAAAGAAAAACACCAACATACCAAACACACCAACAGAGAATGATCAGGAAGTGCCCAATGTTGCCTAAATGATAGTTAATTCCATTTTGGCTTGTCGGTTTTATTTTTTAAGAAAACGCAGTGAGAGCAGTTCTGTCATCATTAGTCAGCTGATCCTTCTATTTCTCTTTTACTACTTTCATTTCTCTCCCATGATTTTGTTTCTGGATTGTTTTTGCTGTTATTAAAAAGCATACATTCTTAGATATTATTGCCTTTGTGTTCTTCCAGATGGTTTTTTAATATCATCGTATCAGGCTTTTTTTCTATTTTTTCATTAAGTCTCAGGCCAAGTGTTACCTCCCTTGAGAAGGTGTTCTGATCCCCACCTCTGCCACACCCCCAGACGTGGCTACTGCCCTTGCTCTGACCAGCCCCCTGGAGGCCACTCCTGGGACAGAGACACATATCTGTCTCTCTACTAGTTAACAGGGTCCTTGAGGGTATGGTGGGGCCTCTCCCCGCTAGCTCTTCCTCCTGGCATTAACTCAGTGCCTGGTGTGGCTAAACCTGCATGGAGGGAGGGAGGGAGGGAGGAAGGAAGGGAGGGAGGGAGGGAGGAAGGAGCTCACTGAAGATGAAGAGTTGAGGGTGTTTAAGGATATCAGGGAAAATATCATAGAAGGTGAGGAGAAGGGGTCTGTTAATCATGAAGTTAAGTAAAAGTGAAGGAACAGTGAATGAAAAGGGAGGTAATAGAATTTCCAAACAACTGAAAGACAAAAAGCAAACATATTTGTAGTCAGGGAAGAAGTCAATGCAGGGTCCAGAAGGATTCCCATGTCACAGCTCAAACTTCACCACCTCAGAATAGTCTGATTCTTTAGTTCTCAACCTCAGTGTGTATCCAGGGAGCTCATTAAAACCCAGATCGCTGGGATGCCAGAACCCCCCGGTCCCGGGGTTAGGTCTGAGCTGGGGGCCAAGAGTTGGCCTTTATAACCAGCTGCTGCTGCTGATCTAGGAACTTTCAGGACCACTGGCCTAAAGCGGGTTTTCAGCCATTTTCTATCCACTTTCCATTTTCTTGATGTAACTCATTAACCCTCACTGAATGGCAAGCACTTTATATAAATGAACACATTTAATTTTGACAGTAATCTTATGAGATACTTTTTACCTCCATTCTACACATGAAGGAAGCATCAAGAAAAAGTAGAGAATGGCACCAAAAGCATGTCGCTAGTTAAGCTCTAAAGTCTGACTACAAGAAATGTTAAATGCTATAAAGAAGTTGGGGGGGGGGGGTGTCTGTCAACTGTGGGATCATGGATGAGCTATTTCCAGGCTTATAGTAGCACATGTCTCAGAGGATTGTTGGATTAAAGGTGTTAGTTCACAAAAACTATTATTATAACTATGATCTGAAATACATAGGATTCTTTTTTAAAATTTTTTTTAATGTTTTGTATTTATTTTTGAGAGAGGAGAGCGAGAGAGAGTGAGTGAGCATGCACGGGTAAGGGGCAGAGAGAGAGAGGGAGACACAGAATCCGAAGCAGGCTCCAGGCTCTGAGCCATCAACACAGAGCCCGATGGGGGCTCAAACCCACAAACCACAAGATCATGACCTGAGTCGAAGCCAGACACTTAACCAGCTGAGCCACCCAGGCACTCCTAAAATCCATAGGATTCTTAATGGTCTACTCTCCCAACTAGAACATAAATTCCATGAGGATGAGGAATTTGTTCTGTTGGTTGCTGGGACCCCACAAGAAAACCTGATATACGTTTCACCCTCAATAAATACATCTTGTTCTATCGTCTTTTGCCAGACAACCTTTCATTTTAAAATTAACATTATTCGGGGCGCCTGGGTGGCTTAGTCGGTTAAGCGTCCGACTTTCGCTTAGGTCATGATCTCACGTTTGTGGGTTCGAGCCCCGCGTTGGGCTCTGTGCTGACTGCCAGCTCAGAGCCTGGAGCCTGTTTCAGTCTGTGACTCCCTCTCTCTCTGACCCTCCCCTGCTCACGCTGTCTCCCTTTCTCTCCTAGAAATAAAAAAAAAATTAACATTATTCATATTTTGAGATTCTGCTTTTATATCTGCATATACACATCTAAATGCAT